CAGAGTATGTACTACATAAAATATTATGTATCGTTTATTATATATTACATTAAAACACAGAATTATATTAACTATACCAATTACATAGTATGATTATAACATGTGCAATGTAGCATATAATCTAGTTTGTATACACATATAATTATATACATTTAATTCTATATTACAATAGAGAATTACGTTACAAGTAACTCATATATAAATCTGTAATATAGATAGTAAATCATTATAATTATGTGTTATATAATTACATTAATTACATTGAATTATAATGTAATTATACTTATATATAAAAATATATATAAACAATGAGCTGTCTAAGGTATTGAGAGTCTGTGAACAGATTAAAAAATGCTTCTAATTCCTCTATTGGTATTAGTGCACATTTTGCATTTCACATCACAATTTTAAGTCACCTGCTATTTACTAGACCACAATACTGTAACTGAATACCCAATTTATATCTGTATTTTGGACCTCCCTGGTGGTGCAAGGAGTTAAGTGCAGCTCTATGAAGCTATCTACAGCCACTGCAGCACAAGTTTGATCCCCGGGCTAGGGAGGTGACCCACATGGCGTGGCAGACCTCTCCTGACCCACCCACTGCTCCCCTCAGCAGTGTACTTCATTAATCTGCCTGTTCTGCTCCCCACTCTGTCTCTGGTGAATCCTCTCACCCACCACACCTCTGGCCTGTACCCGTTTTGTATGAATAAATCAATCTTTAAAAAAATTATCTTGGGGTATGTGTCTAGGAGCAGAATTGCAGAGGTGTGTAATGAGGGAGAGTGGATGGCTTTGACCTTCAGGAAGCCATGCATATAGCGAAAAAATTTTCTTCAGGATATGAAGTTAAATTTTCCTTCCCCTTTTTGGGCAGAGTCCAAGAAGGAGCTGCAAATAGCCATGGTGTGGTGGCAGTTTGGAGGGGGTAGAGGATGCTGGGAAGGCAGGTGAGGTTATAACCCCTCCCAGAGTCAGCAGCTCCCCAATTCTAGGATCCAGTTCTAGGATCCAGTTCTAGGATCAGTTTTTGTTTTGTGTCTGTGTCCCCTGCGTTCTAAGGGCAGGACACAGGGGGGATCCTGGTAAGGACTTCTCACCTCCTGTGATGGCTGCCCCCAAGCTTCCTTCTGGAAGTTGTCACTAAACCAACACGAAGTTTTGAATTTTCTGATGGTGGCTATGACAGGTATTCATTATAAATGAATGGAAAACAAAGACCAGTGTTCCTATGATGGACACTCAGGCATTGGTTGCTGGCATGTTTGCTGCTCAGTTCTCCACAGCATTTAAATTGTTGTCAGATCTTTTCCAAGCTCCCAGCCCGGGCATGCTTGAGAAGCAGCTGTACAAGCTGCCCTCTAGTTTTTTATTCTGCAATTGGCTTGAGGTCAATGAAGGAGACTAAGAAAGTCAGGGTGGCCAAGGGGGCCAGAGAATGGGCCTGTTGTACTGTTGGGGTTCTCACGCAGAGCAACTTGAGCCCTGGGCACACTGGGCAATGTCTGGGCACATTTTCAGCTAGGGCATGCTACCAGCATCTGGTAGACATAGCACCCCTCAATGCATAGGAGGGGCTTCCATCCCAGAGAATGATCCAGCTCGAGATATCAACCGTGCCGAGGCTGAGGCTGAGAAACCACAATTAAACACATGGCAATTTAGAAAGCCTGCTTGCTTGAGTTCATTGTATAACTCTTGGCAGAAATGTGATACAGACATGAGAAAATATTTGGCCAAAATACTAAAGGAATGCAAAATACAAGAATAAGAACAAGCAAGCAGCCCTCCAAACTCGGGCCCCCCAGCCCCTTGCCCTGGAGACTTTCAACACATTTTTGTTGATTGTCCCAAGATTTTGGAAAACTTAATTGTTCCATTCCCTACATGTCATTTTGACCTTACTGCTCTCACTTTTAAGTGACTGTTTCCCAGTGAATCGTTTTCACAATGTAGTTTGCTGTTCTTTCAAAATTTAGCTTGCAATGCAACAGAATGTGTCTTCCACGCCTTCTGTTCCTCGTGCGGCACTCTGGAGGCCTCACCTCATGGTGCAGCACTGCGCACCGCCCCTGCCTGGGGGAGGCGCAATGGCACAATGTTAAGTAGAGATGCAGGAGGCTGCAGGAGTGAGCTGTGTGGTCCTGTGTGTGTGCGTGAATGCCCATCCAAGCGTGTGCGTGCAGGCAAGTGTGTACCTACACGTGTCCACCATTGTAGATTGTCCCCTTCAGCAGCACCTTGTTCCCTAGGACGGATACAACCAACATACACAAACTAGGAGGCCTGAAACAACCTAAATGTGCCCTCACCATTCAGGCCGGGGGTCAGGGCAGGGCAGGCTGGCTCCTCGGGGGTTTAGGGCAGTCTGCACCAGGTCTCTCCCCCGGGCCAGGACCTGCGTGTTCTGCAGCTTCTAGACACGTTGCTCCAATTCTGCTTCTGTTCTTCTGCACCTTTTGTCTGTTTTGCTTTCTTTTCTTACATCACCTGCCATTACATTTAGGGTCCTCTACCAACTAAAGATGTTCTCACCTCGAGATCTTTATTCCAATTACATCTGCAAAGACCCTTATTCCAAATTCCCTATTTGGAAGGCCCCTACACTGACAAAAGGTAAAAAGCAAATCTGCTCACTGAGTGTGCTGAATCGCACGCTGTCTTCCCAGCAGTGAAGGGAGAGCCTGTATTGGGTCTTTGTTGATTGTGGGCAGCAACCACGTAGTTGGGCAGGAGGATGCTGGAAAACTGTCCCATGAACAATATACCTTCCGGGGCACAGCCCTGTGGAAGTCACAGTGGGAGTCTGAGGGATGTATCAGATTGGACAAATCAATGCCCATCAGAAGAAATGCTTGCCAAATTTGGAAGGTGACTGGAAAAAGCATGTGTGTACCCCCAGGGGCCTCCTCATTTGGGGAAGGGACATAACACAAGCAGATGTAGGGAGTCTGCAGCCATAGAGATGGGCTGAATCTCAACCCCCACGCACAAAATGCCAGAAGAGCTGCTCACTGTGCCAAGAGAGACTTGGTGGTCACGGGGCGGGTTCTCTGGGAAGATCATCGCTGGCAAATCAGGCTCAAACTGTAACCCTGAAGACCGGAGGCAGGGGGACAATTGGGTGTTGACAGGGACAGACACAAGCCCTGGATGGGCCTTGTTTAGCTGGTGGCAGATACAAACGCCTGCAGTGCCCGCAAAGAACTGGAACAGAAGATACTGTGACAGTCCGGCCCAGCACGTCACAGCTCTTTAGAATAGGGAACACGCTCACATCTCACAATGTCCAGTGATGGGCAGAGTTCTCCTCAGAGCAAGTCGATAGACAACTGGCACAATGGTTGTCAAAAATGAGGGGAAGAATGTCAACCTAGCAAGAACGAGTGGTTTCCAGTTGCTTTATCATCACAGATAGTTAAAATGAAAGGCCATGAGGATGTGGCCTCATGTTCACATGAGGCCCAGATCAAATCTGCCCTCTGAGCTCAGGCCGCTAGCCTCAGAGCTGCCCATGAAGGGGCAATAGACATCTCAGACCTCTGACCCCCAGGTCTATATAAGGTGGGGGAGTAGGAGGGAAGCCAAGAAACACCGGCAGTGAGAGCTCTGCAGCGCAGGCTGGAGCTCGTGCACGAGTCACCAGGCTCCATCCTGACGTAGATGAGGTCAGGGAACAGGGTGTGGCTGGGATGCCGAAGTGCCTGGCTGACTGGGACCCACAGTTGCCATCACGGACTATGTCTGAGGCACTGACACGTTACTGCTGAGAACGACCAGGCAACCCGGAAAGATGCTGCCGCATGGTCTGCTCCCTGGGGAGGGGCTGTCCAACTCCTCTTATGTGTCAAGTCAGACACACTCCAGATGAAGTAACAGACGCTTCCTGCGCAAGTGACATGGGGCGGACTGTCAGGTGGCCAGGGTGTCGCCGGCTCAGCACGCCTATCATCCAGGCAGAGTAACTGCCATGACTCAGAGACACTTTTGCATGGACACTCCCATGTCTTTGGTGTCTCCGCTTCCCTTCAAGTGTCTTACAGATGCTAAAGTTAATTTAAGGAGAGAAAGGGTGGAAATCTTCAGCCCCTTACTAAGAAATGGGCTGTACAAGACACCGTGACGAGTCAAAGTCCAGCACTATGAAAGGCTGGTGGGCAGCGTGGGCTCCTGAACATTCAAGGGTCACAAACAAGTCTGCTGACTTTGCCTGTTTGGGGATTTAAAAGGCTAGAGAGCAGATTCTGATGCAAAGCTCTATCCAGAATCATTTGGGCTAATCAGTGAGGGTAAGAACCTGACAAAAGGACCAGGCTTCTGGGATGCCCCTCTTCTGTAAATTCAAAGCTTTTTGCACATGAACAGAGGAGACAGTCAGGGACCGTGGAGACCTTCCTGGGTCTGACATAGGAGCTCAGGACTCAGAACTAAGGGGCCTGTGGCTGGCATCTGGAGTAACCCAACAGGCCTGAGGGCAGAGGCTGTGTATGCCCCACTTACGTGTTGTGTGATGCCAAAGGGGGTCCGTCCTTCCCTTCCCTATAACTGTGAGCAGACACCCCACTGAAGTCCTAGGAGACCCCAGTTGGGACGGGGCTGGAAGTAAGGGGCAGTCAGAAGCCAGTCTGGCTGCAAAGCTCCAAGCAAGTGTCAGGTCTCTTCTACCCAAGTGCACAATGCTGGCGGCCACCATGTCTGGCTCAGGATGCCCTCCCCTGGTGGTGCCACAGAGGGACAAGCGGGCAAGAGCCAATAAAGGTAAAGCAGGTACACTACCTGGGACCCAGCGGGACTGCAGCTAGTCCAAGCCCAGAGGTGTCTTCTGCTGACAGCCACTGGACCCTGGCAAGGACAGGCCCCATTTGCGAGTCAATGACCAAACTAAGATAAGAGCCATCCTGAAGGTGAAATGCTCCTAATGTCTCGGCGGTCCTGGGGCTCTGGACCAGCTGTTCAGTGGAACCGGAGCCAACGCTTGCCACCTGTGAGTGCTGATGATGAAACCAAGGCCCAACGGCAAGTTTTATTTTTTAAATATCAAACAAGACCACCATACAAAAGTAGTTTTGCTGCTAAGTGCATAAAGTGCTCAGTTTCTGGAATACCACACGTGAACCCCCACGGCACAAACACCCTGAACACACAGCCTGTTGTGTTTCTGTCCTGAAGTTACGAGAAGATTCCACTTGGACTGCGTTGTGCGGATTCAGGGTGCACATGTCTGCTCGCTGTCCCAGGAGAAGAGTGGGCTCTTCGAGTCATTTGGAGGTTCCCTGCAGGCGCCTTCTGGACCGAAGTACCACTGGTGGGCAGCAGTGGGGCCCTGGGCCTCCTCCCAGGCCTCCTGGCTGCTCAAGGCTGCCTCTTTGCTCACCTCAGCAGACAGCTCCAGCACCTGGGCAAAGCTCCTGTGGAAACAAGGCACAGAAGGTCCTTTGACCCCAGGCCTGAGAGCAGGGCGGGGCCAGAGGTCTAGAGCAGCTGCATCACCAGGACCACACTGGGGGAGGCAGAGTCACGTGGCAAACAGTTGGCAAGCAAGTTTTGTCGGAAAGAACAGTGCTTTTCTTGACAAATGTTAGGGAGTACAGATACCTTGATACAACCTGTCCTAGCAGTGGCCAAGGTAACATCCCTGCTGTCGCACAGATAAGGGGCATCGGACGTGTACTCATCGAGCAGGCTTGGCCATCTAAACCTGTGACCCTTCCCACCCAGCCTCCTCTGTGTGTCCTTGTTTCATCCTGGCACGGGCAGAAGGAAGCGTAATGTGGGTGGCAGGAGTCTTTCTTCATGAGTTCCTTTCAAATATTCAGGCAACCCAGGACGAGTCCAGCTGGCCTTGCTATCTGTGGTGGGGAGGGCGCGGACTGGTTCCAGGACCCCCATCTCCCAGGGCACTTAAGCTCCTGATCTCAGGTCCTCACACAAAGGTACAGAGTGCCTGCACATAACCCACTCACATGCTCCGGCACACTGCAAATCTCTAGCTAACTGTACCACCCAATACAATGGAAGGGGCGAGTAAACAGCTGCTACATGTCACTGGGACTAGCCAGAAAGAAGTCTGTACTTGTTCAGTAGACTAGTAACAGTTGAACCCTGGAACTAATAACAGTTGAGCCCACAGACAGGGCCAACGTACTGAGCAATGCAAACGAAAGGGAAACAGATTCTTCTAGGGGGAAGAACTAGAAAGGCCCAAGGTTAGAAATCTGAGGAGGCATCAACACTGAGAGGAGCTGTGGGCCAGGCTGTGGGGCTGTTCCCGCTCACCTCGCTGTGCAGGACTTGGGGCTGTTCCCGCTCACCTCGCTGTGCAGCTATGCCTGATGAGTCATTTGTATGTATTTACACTTCAGTAAGAAATTCCAGAAAGATCACCCCAAACACTTTCCTTGGAAGACACTTAAAACAGGGTCAGACCAATGGAGGGTGCCACTGTTTCCCTCATCCCACCTCAGCTGCTTGAGAATCCCTGCTGTGAGTTGAGGGCTCCTGCCCCCTTGCTCGCCTCCCCGTGTCGTGCCAGCCCTTGCAGCCTCGGCCCTGTTAACTCAAGCACTGAAGCACCCACAGTGTGTCTCTGCCTGGTAGAGGTTGTCTTTTTTCAAAAATGTTTTAAACTACCTTCGAAGCTCAAGGTCCTTTACTTGCGTGGTTTCCTTGAGCTCATTCAGCAGTTCTAACACCTTCCCATTTTCTTCTGAGCTGCCCATGCCGAGTTCTCCCAGCAGGTGTCGAGTGGTCATCAATTCCTGCTGTAGACCATCTGCAGGAGAAAGGGGCAGTCAGCCAGGGGCTCAGGTGCCTGGCGAGGATGCCCAGGCTGAGTGACTATAGACTTTCTAGCCATTTCTCCCGGGTGCTGTCTAGCGGCACTGGATTCGCAAAAGCACCTGCGCTGGCGCTGCCTCCCAGCCCATCGGCCTGAGATCAAGGTGGCCTGGGGCAGTGGGTCAGGCATGTCTGCGTGCAGCCATCCGGGAACAGAAGTGGAAAGCCGCATGGATAGCCTCACAGGAATGAACGGAAGCGAAACAGTGAGTAACTTAAAAATCAAACTGCTTCCACAAAACTAGCAATAAAGGATTAATCACAAAGATATACCAAAAACTGATGAAACTCAACAAAAACAAACAACCCCATCCAAAAAATGGCCAGAAGAGCGTATGAAAAAATGTTCAACATCCTTTGTAATAAGGGAGATGCAAATTAAAACCACAATGAGATACCACCGCACCCCAGTGAGAATGGCACATCTTCAGACAACTAGCAACAACAAATGCTGGTGAGGATGTGGAGAAAAAGGAACTCTCTACACTGCTGGTGGGAATGCAAACTAGTACAGCCACTCCATAGTGGTTCCTCAAACTGCTAAACATGGAGCTTCCCTACGACCCAGCAATGCCACTCCTAGGTATCTACCCAAAAGACACAAAAACACTGATTGAAAAAGATACCTGCAGCCCCTGTTTATTGCTACCTATTTACAATAGGAAAGATATGGAATCAACCCAAATGCCCAAAAGTAGATGACTGGATTAGAAAGATGTGGTACAATGGAATGTTATGCGGCAATCATAAAAAGATAAACACATGCCTTTTGCAGCAACATGGATGGAGCTGGATGGGGTTGTGCTTGGTGAAATAAGCCAGAAAGAAAAGGAAAAATACCGGGTGGTTGCACTCATCACAGGAGATGAAGGACCAGGTGAGAAAGTAATAATAATAACGAACAACTATATACCAGAGACATTTTATGGGGGTGGAATGGGGAATGGGGTCAAAAACAGTGGGGGGGGGGAGGGAAGTGCACTGGACTATGGTAATGGCACACGGGTGATTTGGTGATGAGAAGCCCATGGGGATTACAATTGAGATGGAAAAAGGCACAGATTGATGTAAAAACTATTACATTATTAAAAAAATTAAACTGTTTCCATCCATTTCCAGCATCTGTGCACCCCCACCCCAGCAGGATGGCTTGCAACCACACTGCACAGATCTTCCTTGATTTACCGTAAGATGATGGCCCCACAAAACCATTTTAAGTCAAAAATGCATTTACTACATTTCAACTACCAAGCACCAGCACTCAGCCTAGGTGACCTTAAATTAAATGTTTTCAAAACACTGACAGAAGCCTCCAGTTGGGCAAAAGCATTTCACGCAGAGCCTATTTATATACAAGCGCTGACTATCCCAAGCAATTCATTGAATACTCTACAGAGTGGAGTACTGGCTGTCTCCTCTTGTGATGGCAAGCTGTGCTTACTGTCCTGTCCAGTGTCACAGAAGATGGTGTTACACAGTGTTAGACAGGAAAAGGTCAAAACTCAAACTCTGAATGACAGTTCACACTGTACTGTGTGATGCTTTTGCACCATCATCACAAAAAAATGGAATGAATCCAACCACTGTATATCCCACCTGTGTCTCCTGCTCTGGGCACACCTCACAGCTGTATATGCAAATGAGAGGACCCTCAGGAGGGCCTCACACACACCCTCTTGCATCCCACGGTAACTCCCTAAAGGACACAAGCAGGTCCCAAAAATCAAGCACCTGAGAACGTGATCCTATTGGAAGTGGGATCTTTGTTGAAACAAAGAATTAGAATGACCTCGGTTGGTTGGTGTCTACAGTAAAGAGAAGGAATTCCGATACAGAGGAGCTTGGGGAAAAGGTTGTGTGGGGACAGAACATCAAAGGGGGTGATACAGCCATGAACCCAGGGCGGACAAGAGCTGCCAGTAACATGAGCAGTTGGGAGGGAGGCCTGGAAGGAACCACCCTCACAGCCTCCGGAACAAGCACCTGCCCTCATCTTAATCTTGGAACTTCTAGTCTCCAGGACTGGGGCGAATGCATTTCTGTTGTTTCAAGCCCCCACAGTTTGTGTTTGCTTGTGGCTGCTGCCCCATGACACTTCCATGGAAACTAACTATGGAACTTATCACAGATGGAGATCGAGACGTGCAGGGGACTGATATCATTACAAAACGGGAAACCAGATAAAGAGCTTTTCTACAAGGTTCACTTTCTTAAGTTCAGTGTCAAACACATATATTTCATGCTGTAAAAACTTAATTCTATTAAAAAAATCATGTGTCAGCTGACACCACCACCAATCCAGCCACTCTTTTTGACACTGAACTTCATTTGTACTACTCCAGACAAATTTTCTGTGGAAGGTTCTAGAAGGAAATCCACCTGATCTTAAATGATGATATTTTACAACAGACCTAATCAAGAAGTGTTTAGATGCTCCAAAATAACCATACCAGGGGAGCTAAAAACTTGCTTTAGGAAGATGTCTGTTCAAAACAGAGTTCAAACAGTGAGCAAAAGTTTCTTCAGCAGAGGCTTTTAGATAGGACCCTGTGCAGAAAAGGGACCCTCTGCATAGCTCCCACAGCTAGGAGACTGCAGAGTGCTCCCCAAATGTCTCTCAGTGGGGCAGGAAATCATCAGGGCATTCTACAGACCTGTGTGCAATCCCGCAAGCGGGTGAGCCAGAGTAAGCCACAGCCCAGTCAGCCCCAGCTGTCCTTGGCCACCTGATGCAGGCCACATCAGCTCCCTGGGAGGAGGGAGGGATGCCACAAAGGGAACCAGGTGCTGGACGCAAGAAGCATGTTTCCTACCTAAGAACCGAGCTCCATCGCCATCCAGGTGGATAGAATTCACGGGCAGCTCATGCCTCGTGGTGTCCAGGGCTGTGGCAAGTGTCTTGTACTGTTCTTTGAAGCGCTGGGCCAAGGCCTCGTATGGACTGAGCATCTCTATCTGCAAGCGGGAGGGAAGGGACCTGTGAGTCAAGACCCTGCAGCCCCGTGCCCAGGAGCGCAATCCACACTTGAGGATGAGACACAGCCAAGTGTTTCCAAGAGCCTTCAGGGAATCCTCTGAAAGCTTCTGAGGGTGCAGGTGCCCCAAGATGACCCAGTCAATAGCAAGGTGGCAGAGCCCCCTCACCATGAACACGCATTCACTTTTTACCATGTTCTAAAGACTTCAACTGGACCAAGAAACAGACCTTTGAAGTGTTGCGCTGAAATGCCTGTGCGGCAAGCAACCACATTTCCCTCATCTCTATCCAGGTTCTCACAAAGACTTTTTAACTATTCATTAGATGATTTGTCATTTCTTTCTCACAAGGACAGGGACCCCCATTTTTAGAAACAGTGACACAGAGTTAATTGTGTCCCATTCCTCTGTGGACATGCCAACTCCCAGCCCCTCTGATTTGATCAGTCTTTACAGGATAGCTGAGTTAATGTGAGGATGTTAGGGTAGGCCCTGTCAATACAACCAGTGCCTTAGAAATAGAGAAAACTGTGGAGCCCAAGGGAGGAGACATAGGGAGATGGCAATTATCTACAAGGCGAGAAGAGAGGCCTGGAACACTATCTCCCCTCACGGCTCTGGAAGGAAGCAACTCTGCTAATATCTGATCTCAAACACCTCTTTGACACAATAGAGTCAGACACAATATATGCCATTTGTTCCGGCCTTCACCTAGTCTGTGGAACTTGGTTATAACGAAACCCAGGACACACACACGGGGCGAGAGGCCCCAATGCCTGATCTGCCCTTTCTATTGGGTTGTAAAAGTCATGACGCACTTTGTGTCTGCCACACACGCCCCAGCTGCTCTTTGTGACATTACAGCCTGTCCTCTTAGTGACTGTTACATGCCACACCTGATCGTGCTCACGGCGGAGCGACACCCACCATAACACTTCCTGTCAACCTCCCCCAGACTCCCGGCTCAGACCTGGGGGTCACAACTAACCTGAGCGTCAAGGATCTCAACCAGCTCCCGCGTCCTCTGACAGAGGAGAAGCCTGCGCTTTAGCTCATGGACCTTTTTCTGTAGCTTCTCTTTCTCTTTGCACATTATTAATAAATTTCTTTCTGCCTCTTCCTCGAATGGAGCAAGACTGTTTTCCATCTGTTCAGTGTGAAATAAGAGCTCAGGTCAGAGGGGGTTTCAGCTGTGTAGCTAACAGAGTCACCTGCCTCCACGCGTATCACACACCAAGGCTCTGTGTTCACCTTTACAGTCAGCAGCGTCATGAGCAAGGTTTGGGATTCCATCATTTCCATCGCTTCGGACAGATCCTTAAGAGGAATACGATACTTTTGGTTGCCAATGAAATGAACATTCTCACACAGAAGGAACCCAACCCTCGCCTGAGTTTTCTTTAACTCAGTAATGCAGTAATTCGCTACCATGCAGTGGCCCCTCCTCACTTTTGGGTTCACTTTCCGCAGCTCCATTAATGAAAGTCAACTATGGTCTGAAAATTATCTCAATATTCTGAGGAGACCATGTTCACACAAGTTTTGTAATGGTTTCAGTTTATTGTTAATTACTGGTGCTGTGCCTGAATGACAAACTATCATGATACGTAAATGTAGGAAAACATATGGTAGATGTGAAGTGTCAGGACTAACCTGGGTTTCAGACATCCACTGGGAGTCTGAGAGGATCCCTCTGGAGGAGGGGCCACTGTATATTGACCTGTTGTTTCTTTTTTAGTCTTTCTGGGGTCACTGTGGAAGCTAGAAGATGTCTGGCGCCCTCTGGCGGACTATCAGGGCCAGCCAGGGGCACACACTGACTTGGTGCCAAGCCAGAACCAGGACTCGGTCTCCTATCACTGTTCCTCATGGGCTGAGGCCACAGTCTCCTAACCCCACATCCCCACCACAGCCCTTTCCTAGCACAGCAGTAGCCAGAAGGCCCCACCTCATTTTTCACATGATCCCACATGGGTATCTATCCCTTTATGTGCACTTGAGGAAACTCACATTCTGCCATTAGTCTAGTAATATGTGTAACCTTAAAATGCACCATTGTGTCCTTTGCTTTGGGAGTCTCGGGCTTCCTGAGTCTCTGGAACATTGCAGAAGTTAAATCAGATACATCCAGTCAGCAGTAGCATACTTACTGGGCTCTTCCTCCGAGAGGCAGAAAACGATGATGAGGAATCCGTTTTCTTTGACATCACTTTTTCTAACTGTGGAGTCCTTCTGAGAACACTTTTGTCTAAGATGAAGAATATTTTTAAAAAATACTTTAATAGTTTATTTTTATATCATTTGGTGCCTTTTTCCATCTCAGCTGTAATCCCTGTGGACTTCCCATCATCAAATCAGCCAAGTGCCATCACCACAGTCCATTGCACTACCTCCGCCAACCCATTTTTGATCTCATTCCCCACTCTACCCCCATAAAATGAAAGAAGAGCATTTTTAAGGGGAAAATGTGCCTGGAAGCCTAGTGAGAGTGGCGCAACCCCCAGCCTGGGGCGGAGGAGCAAAAGGCCTACCATTGATGGCGGAGAGGTCCAGGTCGGGCGGGGCAGTGCCGTGCCCTTCAAGTAGTGTGGACTGAAGGTCACCTTTTCCTGTCCCGCTGCTATCTGTGGCCAAGAGAGGACCCCAGAAGGGAAAAGGCAGTCAGTATGATGCTCCACACATAAGTTGTGAAGTCAGTGACTTTTTGTATATCTCTTGCTCCCAAAACCCCACCTTCTTGCAAGGTGAAAGGAGAAAAGGTTGAAAAGCCTTTGGAAATTCCCAGCCATCAATTTGAATACATTTTAAAGTAGAAATTGAAAAGTCATTCTTTATAACCCAAAGATGCAAATAAGGCTTTCTGCTGAGCTTATAAGCAGCTTATTTCAGGATACAGATTGTCCTCGACTTACGATGGGTCGTGTGCTCATAAATCCACACTGAAGTGACAAATGTCATGCATCAGGAATGCTGACTGGGAGATGCTGCTACCCAGCATGGCCAGGGGACCAGACCCGGGTTTCTGCTCAATGTGTACACTTTGCACCAACAACAAGCTGACACACAGGAAGTGACACCATCGTGAAGCTGGGAGCCATCTGTGAGGTCAGCTGCCCACCACGGGCTTGTCCCACTCTCTACTGCTTCTTCTTCTGCTGATAGATCTGAACTATTTATCTTATTTACCCTAGGAGTTACTTTTATTTTTCAGCCTCTATCTAAAATTACCAAGTTATGTATTAAACTATCTAAAATGGGCAAAGGTATGTTCTGTGCTTCAATTTGGTCAGGCCACCAACGCAGCTGTGAACAGGTGGCACAGGAAACACACTCACACTGGGAACAAAACAGAAAACTGCTTCATGAACAACTACACAGTTGAGGAAACAAATGACAGGAAATGAAAAAGACTAAGTCACAATAATGCGTGGTACACAGTACCAATGGTATCAACGCGAAAAACAACAACTCAAATAAACAAAAATCTATTGAGCATGCTGTCTCCTGGTTGGAGGCTGAGAATAAGTGGGAGAGGGTATTTTTTATTGTTCTTCTTTTTGACTAGTCAAAAATGTTTTGTCGTCTCTCTTTATGGTATTTGAGAAAACTAATTTCCTTTGAAACCATATAATCAAACTCCAATAAGCAATCTTTCTAAATCATCATGGTGGTGTTTGAATTGTGGTTTCTCAACCTGCACAAATGTTGACATTTGGGGCTACATTGTTCTTTGTTGGGGGCCTTCTATGCACCACAGAGGGAGTCTGGTTTCTACCCATCAAATACCAGTAGCTTCTCCCTCTTACAACACCCAAAAATGTCTCCAAATATGGGCAAGTGTCCCCTGATGGTCACTCCCCAGGTGAGAACCCTGACTTAAGAGGTGGTAAGCCTGGGTTCTAACCCCTCTGGCCACACCAGCTGTCTCATGTTTCATGCTTGGCTCTCATCCCAGCTGCATAAGAAAAAAACAAGGTAGCCACTCTGGCACACTGTGCCTGTGATGGCTTCTCAACCATGCCTGGGTTAAGCAACAAAGTGAATTCTGACAAACACCTTAACTAGGAGAGGCAAACAAACTGTCGCTCACAGGTCACATCCAGCCTGTTTGTCAATAAAGTTTTATTAGTATATAATTGTACTCATTTGTATACTTCTGTGTTTTCCTGTCACTCTGCAATGACAGAAAGCCTTTATGACAGAAACTGTTTGCTTGCAAAGCCTAAAATAATTACTATCTGTCCCTAAAAAGGTGCACTGACCCTTGATCTGAGTAGTAAAGTAGAAAGTCTAAGTTAAAAACATCACATTTAAGGCCCTCCCTGGTGGCGCAGCGGGTTAAAGCACAGCACTGAGAATCTAAAGCCGCTTCTGCATGAGTTCGATTCCCGCCTGCCCCGGAGGTGACCACATGGCGTGCCAGACCTCTCCTGACCCGCCCGCTGCT